TCGGAGTCTATATCTTGGAAAGACTCGAGGGTGCAAGCCAAAATGGCGCTAAAGACACAGCACTTGTATCAAGTGGGAAAAAATGAAGAAGAACATGAACTGCAATGACTGCTGCAAGACTCGTGACATGGTCTGTGTCTAATGGACACAATGGTATAGCCAAGCTGGCCAAGGATATGTCTTGAAAGACCTTATGGGAAAAATCTCATTGAGGAGGGTTTAGGGCTGGGGAAGCAAGCAGACGTGGGAAAGCCAAATGGCTGGAATATATCGGTTGTGGCTCTGGGTCTTAGCAGAGCATGGTATGGCCTTTCGGCTTCATGACATGGCACCACGGTCAGAGCAGCTCTGTTTTGGCAGCCACGACTGACTTGGCTGCGGTCTGTCCAGTGGAGGAGCTGGCCGTGGTCCTGTCAGGAGGAGGTTTGGTGTGCATGCTCTGGTTTAAACAACATTCTGGCTGCAGTGGTCTCCTTCACTGGAGATTGCGAAAGCGATCTGGCAGCGTTGGTGGATTGCCCTGCTGGATGAGATCGGTTTGGTGGTCCACCCATTGGGCCATGGTGGGCTCGCCCAGGTACCTGGGCCAGCATCTAAAGGAAGGACAATGGTATAGTTATGGACCCGTGCAGAAAATATAACAGAAAGGTATAAACATATGGTTTCTTATGAACCGTACATGGTGTCCAAGGCCAGATAGCATTATGTTAAAAAAAAAAGGTGGTGACCTTACTGACTCTGGTTGCAGCTTGGCATCCACTGGGCCTGGCGCCGAACTTTTCCCCAGTCCTGGCTGCGAATGGCCTGCATGAACCATTGGGTTTTCTGGAACCAAGTGGGCGACTGCTGGGGCCCTCAGTAGGCTTTTGGTGGGCTTGGGGACTCGAGCTGGGCTTTGTGGTCTGCCCAGAACTGCTGGACCAATTGGTCCAGTTGGTCCCATTTTTGGGCCTTGTGGAAAGCCAGCAGCCACCCCAGCTTGTTCTTCCACCCCGTCTCTTTGGTTTTGACGGGGCGGGAAGAACAAGCTGGGGTGGCTGCTGGAGGGGCGCCCGCAGTGGAGGATGGGTCCAAGCTGGAGGATGGTCCCTGCCATCGCAAGTGGTCCGGTGGTGCATAGGTTGGCTCCACGGGCTGCTTGGGTCCCTGCCATCGCAATTCGTCCGGTGGCGGCTCCATGGGCTGCTTGGGGCGACGGCCCTGGCCCTTGGCTGCAGTCTTGGACATGGGAGTATCTCGTCGTATGGCTCGTTGTGTTAAGTCCATGCCACCTATACTGGTGGTAGTGGCGGCGTGTTCGGACCCGGGTGGTGGCGTCTCAAAGACTTTCTTCTCTGGGGCTCTGGTTGGATGGCGGGTGGCTTCACCGTGGGGGGGGCGAGTGGGCGGGTACTTGAGCTTGGGCGCCGTGGGCGGTGTGGTTGGTGTGGTGGCTGGAGGGGCGCTCGCAGTGCCGGGCGGGGCCTTGGCGGGGATTGGCTGCGATTGGCGGAGCTGGGACTGTGGGCGGGGAAACCGGTGACGGCTGGGGGCTGGCGGCCTCCAACGGGGCCGTGGGGGTCACCTCTCAGGGAGGGGACTGGGGGGTCGTCGGCCAAGAGCGTGGGGACGCTACGCTACCTGGAGAGCTCTCCGCGTGCGTGTCCACGTCCGTGACGTTATCCATGGCGGCACAGTGGTCGGAAAACTGGTGTTGGTGCTGGCCAGACTTTGGCTATGGAACTATGGGATACAGTATGTATTATGTATGCTGCGTTAGACTCAAAATTTGAATCTAATTCTATATATTTAGGATTTGAATTCAAAATTTGAATCTAATATTTCGTTAGGTTCAAATTTTTAATCTAACTCCTGAAATCTGGTTGTTAGGTTCAAATTTTGAACCTAACTAAACTGGCCGGCCCTTAAGGAAGTCATTTTTAGTCTTTTTGATTTTCTGAGACTGTGCCTGACAAAGCGGGGGCGGGGCAGGGTTAAATCAGTATTTCTAA